GCACCGCAGGCAGAATGGATGCAGCACGAACAAGGAAGAAATAACAGAGAAGGCAGACCATGAAAGATGTTGGCAAGGTTCTTGTTTACACAGTAAGTGAAAAATTAGTTAAAAATTTTTTAAGTGGGTATTTTTCAGAACAAACTGTTCAGAGAAGCATCACAGATATAAACTGGAGAAGCGGAGTCGGCCAAATGTCACACTTCCATTGCTACGAGGGCTGATCCACTGCCATCAGGCTGCTTCGGGTTTAATACAGGGTGCCAGGGAACAAACTGCCCCACTATATCTTCTATAACAGTTGAAATTTTCTAACTAATCTAACTTTTACCCCCTTTATCTCATCTTATTTATTCCAATATTTTTTAATCCATCTAGTGGTAGATTAAGATTAGTGGAGATTTACCGATGCTGATTAAACAAGAGATTCGGCAATGGCTATGCTATGTGCGAATGTGCTATTTGTCAGCATTGGCAAACACTAGTATATATGTATAAAACTAAGGACTGCCTATACCAGGATAAGACCCAGATTTATTATAAATAACTGCAACCACATATGTACTAATTTGGTGACTTTTTGTCCAATGAGCTAACAAAAATTATAGGAGAAAGAAGAAAACATAAACAAGGACACAAATTATTCTAATCACCCACGGTTATGTTGAATGTACATGTAAGTGTACACAACTTACACTCATTAACAGTACAAGATATAGAGAATGAGGCATACAAGGATTATTTTTAGTTGCTTGGAATTTAACAATACTGTATAGTCCATACTACAATAAGGTAAGTGGTTTTTTCTCCTTTTTTTCCAATTAGTTTATTGAATATTAGTAGTTACTTACAATACATTTTCCAGTACCATCTTGACACCTATTTGAATTTCCATTGCAGTTGCAGGGGACACAGTGTCCATTAAATACTCCTTTATTCTCACGATAATATCCAAGGCCACATTCCTAGACAGTAAGCAGAGAGGAAAAAAAAAAGGTGAGTGTTGGTGTTTTACAGGTTATGGGAAGCATGTTTTGAAATTGTTTGCCATTTCCAAGGAGTAGTGTAGGTATATATTTCCTTGCAAGCTCTTCTAAGCCCATATTGTTGTTTAAATTGTAAGTATTTTAATGCAGCGAATAGCAATGAATGGAGCTGAAGAAGTTTCATCCAAACCCTGTGCTCTACACTTTGTGGTAGTGGGGATTTCATCATTTTGACTCTAACCTCTGAGCAAAACACACTTCCTGTGGCTACGTACTAAGGTGTAGAATCTGAATCTTAAACCACAGAAAAAGATTTTAATATAGATTCACACTACAGTGGTCTCAAAGAACACATTAACTAGTGGTTATATGAAATCTTGATATTAACTACAGTGTATTCCTTGGAAATCCTTCAATGATATATCTTTTACATTAACTCATCATGACTTCCACAATAAGTCTACCTAGAACTATACAAAGCCATGCTTAGACAGAGCTAGGTGATATAACAAAACACATAGCGGTCTAATTTCTAAGCACAGGCTTGTCCCGGAGACCCGGGAAGCACGAGAAGAATGTTCAGCTATTTGAGGGCACAGGAGCAGGAGCACAGCCTGTCAGACCAAAGTTGGGTTTAAATAGGGAGACCTGAACCAGAGGAACATTATGAATGAAGGAAGAGATATAAGGTTTGTTAGCTTACACCAGGAAGGTAGTAACTAATATGTTAAAACCAGGTTCTTGCTTGGCATAGGCAGGGAAAGCAGCAGGTCTGTCCCTATACAGACCAACTAAAAAAATTCATGCCCGCCTTCTCTGCTCAGCATCATCCTGGCACACCAACCACCCAAAAATGACCAGACCTAAGTCTATCCCTTCTGTTCCCTAGTTCCTTTTCACTAGCAACTAAGCTGGTGTGGTGCAGGGAAGATCAGAGTCTGTACAGAAGCGGGGAGAAAGGCGTACTCCCCACGAAGCCAACACCTACCAGGTTCCTGCCTCTGGCAATGTTCTTCTTTCTGCACTGTACCTATACCTCGCCTCTACCTCACGGTTAGGGGCTGGTCCCAATGACATCCAGAAAACAAGTGACAGTTGAACTTTAAAGTCATAAATCTTTTCTCATAGCAATTACACCACCAAGACTGATGGGACTAATCTGAAAAGCAAAGGGTTTGTGAACTCAAATCATGTTCCAGTGGCTTGAGGTGTAAATCTTTATGTGTGGGCAGGATTAACCAGTGAATTTACCAAGCACGTAACTACCAGAAGAAAAAAAAAAAATAAATCACCTTTTCCAAATCAGGTCCCAAAAGGAATATCGAGTTACTGCTGTTTAAACAGCAGTTGCTAGTGGCACCTTTGCCTTTTTTACATGTGGGATAAATGAAAAAAAGAGAATAGAAAAAAAAAAAGTATGCAGAATACTAATATCATCAACAGCTTTTAATACTGACTTCAGTGTGAGCAAGGACTGAATTTAGAATAGGCACTTGAAATTTTTCAGATACATTTTCAAAAGGATGAATATGTTCCCTGAACAACAGGGAGCCAGTATACACAGCTTCTGAAGAAACCAGGGCCTGAAATACATTAAACAGCATGACTAAGTAAAATATAGGCTCTAATGCATATAAATGTTATTTACTGAAAGTCCCTTTTTGGAGAGCAAAATGAATCACTCATTTTAAAAATACATCCAAATGCATTTAGGAAAAAATCTATGCAGCTTTTTGTTTTTCCATTTATGCTGTCTTTAAAACAACACATTTAGAGTACGTGGGCACTTTGTTTTTGAAGCAGCATTCGTGATACTGAGAAATTGATTCCATGCAAAGATAAAGCTCTAGGCACTTTCTAGTGCTCAGGAGTTCAGGCTGATTGTTTTCAAGTAAACAGCAATTTAAAAGAAACTTCTTGCACACACTTTTTTAAGCAAAGTACTTTGAGATAGAAGAAGATTAGCCTTCTTATTACTTTTATATTAAGTAATGTATAAGTTGTTATCAAATTAGTTCATTTAAAAACAAAGAGAAAGAAGGAAGCAAGTGAGGAAGGGAAAATGAACAAATTACCTGTCTCGGGTAAAAATTCCTTTGAACTTGTTGCTGCTGACTCCCCTCCTGAAGGTGAGGATACGATAGCCTCTGTTGCATATCTTCTGCTAAACAACGCCCCAGGGCTACTAACGTGACAACCAGCCATCCTACACCCCTCGGCCTCTGCGTTTGGGCCATCGTTTTACTCTAACGCTGCTATCCTTTCAGTGCTCGCCCGTTCTCTTATACTCTCCCTTCTTCTCCAGCTTCTGACTCAGATTAATGAGGCTCTGCGCCGTGATGGGCCCCACCTTTAAACTTTATACGTGAGTCAAGTTGTACAGCACACATTACCGTTCCTGAGGTTAACAAGTAACCCCGCAGTTCCTGTAGCTGGATATATACCTAAGTCGGGGTGTGGCATCACCTCCTCCCCACCTAAGGCAGCCAGACAGAGCTAGGTGATTAAAGCAGTAAATCACTGCCTGAGTAACGCTGCACAAACATACGGGGCTTACGAACTACCCAGGTGAGCGTCTTGATCACTTCCTTTGGCTATGTATTTCCACCAGGTTATATAAAAAACTCTCGGCGGCTTAGTTTATCAAGGCAGTATGCTGAAAGTGATGGGACGGCAGCAGGGATTTC